ACATATTATTACTGTTGAATTCATTTCACAACGCTGTTTTCCGCGGCCACCTAAACGATGCTTTAAAGCTAAAATTTGGGCTTCATACTAGAGTGAATGGTCTAACAATATTACCAATTTTAAAGAGCTTTTATTGCACCAGGATTTTTAAATGCCACTTTAACTTCGCATAGCCATATAAATGACTAATGGTTTTAAAAAAAATTGATACTACAGTAAAATTAGAGAGTTGAATACAGTTGATAGTGGATGCTACAGGCGGATAAACAAGTCTTTGTCATTTTCAAATGGCTTATTTCTGTACACATAACTACAGTTTTACCAACGGATAGTCAACATACTGCAAACTGCAGACGGTATTTAAATACCTAAATACCTATCATCAATATAGTAGTGTGTTAAATTGAGATGCTAATCGCGATCAGCACAACATATTTCAGTTTATCAGCAGGTAATGTTACTGTGTGTCACTAGTAAGTGTTAATGTTGGCATCTATAGTTTGAACTTGAGTAAAGGATCTTTGGAATGAGTAAAGTAATTGATAAAGCTGTCATGTACACTCGTTAGACAGAGCGGACCTGGAAACACTGCTTGAACTCTTATTGGAGAAGAGTTAAGAGATTTGGTCCAAACCTGTGATCTATGTGTAGCTGCCTATCTCTGAGTAATTTTTACATTCACTTTTCCAACACTTATTAGCCTATTGCTAAAGATAAGAAACATGCTTACATTTTTAGATCAAGTATTGGACACTCAACAGAGAGACAATCATCACTAGTAAGTATCAACTGCAGCATATAAATCAAACTGTTAGTCAGTTTGAACAACTATTTCAAACCTTGCATTGTGATTTATATTTGCAGTATTAAGTATGATATCTTAATTTATGTTCATACTTGATGTCTCAATTATGTCTGTACTTTAATGATTTAATCTAGGTACAACTGTAAGCAGGGTTGGGACGATTACTTTTAAAAAGTATTTCACTGCAGATTACAAAATACATGCTTTAAAAAAGTAATTTGTAACATTTCATTAGATTACACAAGTGTTGTAATTGAATCTAAATACTTTAGAATACTTTGGAATACTAATAAGGTGTGTAACGCAAAGGGTCCTATAGAGAAACATGACATCCACCAAACATAGGACTTGGTTTTTCTCTGCATATTATTTTCAACAACATCAGTTCCCTTTCAAACGTTCTCTCACATTGTGTATGGGGAAACTCCTGTTTACTACTGAATACTGAAGCCTGATTTGTTCACGTTTGTGTAGCTGCACTAACCAATTGCGCTTTATCCCGCCAGAATTGGCGGAGCCGACCCCTATAAAGGTCGGCTTGGAGCGCCATTTCATCAGAATATTCTCCTTCAGCGATGAGGATCATCTCTTCGCTGACTCTACAAAAAGCCAAAAAACGAAGACGAAAGAAGCTCAGCTTTGCTCGCCGCCGTCGAAGAACCCTTGGCAGAGGACGAAGAGCTCCCCTGCGGCCATCTGGCACCTCTAAAAGAGCATTTTTTCTGAGCAAATTTCTAGCGCGCGTGTCTGCAAATGTCGCGCCGCGAGGCAGACGGGCACAGCGAGTGTGTCGCCTGCCTGGGCAGCGCCCACTCAGAGTCTGCGCTAGCTGAAGGCTCATGTTCTCACTGTGAGGGAATGAGTCTTTCCTGTCTCTGCTCGCGGATCGCCTTCTTCAAGGAAGGCGGTCCTTCCTGCTCGGCTCTCCCGGTTCCTTTCTCGCCTAAGAGAAAGAAACAGCAGAGCAGAGGGTCTTTCTCAGCGGGTTCGAGCGGTGTCACGTCGGCTCAGCGCTTGCGTGCCCCTCCCCGCTTCACCTTGTTGCGCCGGTGTGTTTTACACAGGATGACCAATGCCCCTCCTCGGCTGCGAGTGGCTTGGTTTCCTTCGGTGCCTCCGGGGAAGAGATTGCCGTTGACGACTCGATGTCTTTGATGGCGTCGGACGCCGAGGAATGGGTTTGTTCCAGCAAAGAGCCCGAAGCCCTTCCTCCCTCACAACTAGAAGACTCAGAAGACGTCGCAAGCGCTGCGTCACTTCCTCCCTAAACGCTCTGGCTCAGCAGCTGCCAGTCGCCAGAAAACCCCCTCCACTCAGCAGCCTGCGAAGCCGGTGCCGCCACAGCAGAAATCTGAGCCTGGACATCAGCAGCGCCCCCGGACGGCAAAACGGTTTCCACACCCGAAGCGTCAGGGTCCCCGCCCTCAAGTAATGCTGGACCCTGAGCCTCTGAAGCCACCCTGAACGGCTCACAGAAAGGAAAAGGAGAGGGTCAGTTCTCGCCTCGGCCAGAACTCCCCCGAAGACAGCTCGCATTCATCCTCCACCCCTCCGAGCACCTCTGAGTGATGGAGACTTGTTGCTAGCGGGTCACGTCCTGCCAGTGCAGTGCGTACCCGAATGTTTTACAGCTGTGGTAGAGGACCCACATACTCAAAAGAGCAATTTTCCTCTTCCCACACTTACACTTGCAAACGCAAGTTCCCCGCCCCCTCGCGGCGAACTTTCCTTCGTAAAATTAGAACCCCTTGCATCCCGGTTCATGGCTTGGGCAGCCATTAGGGATGTGTCAAGCTGGGTTCTAAACACAATAAAACGAGGTTGCTTGCTTCAGTTCGCTCGCAGGCCGCCTCGCTTCAGAGGTGTTATTCAGACTTCGGTACAGGACAACAAAGCTCACGTTCTCCGGTCCGAGGTGCAAACACTGCTTACAAAAGGTGCTGTGGAAGCGGTACCTCTAGCGAACAACGAGTCAGTCTTTCTCAGCCGCTACTTCCTCGTGCCCAAGAAAGAAGACAGGCTCAGACCTATTCTAGATCTCAAACATCTGAATCGCTCTCTTATGAGACGGCCGTTCAAGATGTTAACTCTGAAACAGATCCTCGCGCAGATTTGCCCCGAGGACTGGTTTCTGATAGTGGATCTGAAAGATGGATACTTTCACATTCACATAGCCACCCCGTCACAGACTATTCTTTAGATTCGTGTTTGAGGGAGTGGCCTATCAATATGCAGTACCGTTTGGACTGTCTCTGGCCCCTCGCACTTTTACGAAGTGCATAGATGCTGAGTCAGATGGGAATCCACATTTTGAACTCCCTCGATGATTGGCTGGTTCTGGCCAGATCAGAACGGGAGTTAGTCACTCACAGGACGCTGTTGCACAGACACCTAGAGCGCCTCGGGTTGAGAATCAACCTGTCCAAGAATCAATTGTCACCCAGACAGCAGGTTGTCTTTCTGGGGATGATCATAGACTCCGCCCAGATGCGGGCATGAAGTACGCCGGAGCGGTCCCTGACTATACAGCGACTGGCGGCATCTTTGAAACCAGGGACTTCCCTGCCTCATGGTGGCCGCCTCCTCTGTGATTCCTCTAGGCCTGCTGCACATGCAGCCTCTTCAGTTTTGGTTCAAAGCCCGCGTCCTGTCCTACGCTTGGAGCCTTGGCCGGTTTTATATCAGGGTAACCCACCGCTGTATCAGAGCTGTGGCCCCCTGGACAATTCCCTGCCTGTTCCAATCAGGTGTGCAGTTGGTACTGACCTCCAGGAGGAAGGTAGTGACAACAGACACCTCCAACTTGGGTTGGGGCACTCTGTTAGAGGGCAATCCGGCATCCGGCTCCTGGTCGACCCACGAGCAACCCCTGCATATCAACTGCCTCGAACTGATGGCGGTTTTCTTGGCCCTGAAAACCTTTCTGCCAGCCTTGGAAGGGCACCACGTCCTGGTCCGGTTGGACAACACGACGGTGGTAGCTTATATCAATCGCCAAGGCGGTCTTAGGTCACTCCCCCTTTACAGGATGGCCCGACGCCTCCTATTTTGGGCACAGGACAAACTCCTCTCGCTAAGAGCGGTTCATGTGCCGGACAGTCTGAACTTGGGCGCAGACATGGTGTCCAGAGGCAATGCACTGTAGAATCCCTGATTCTTACAAATTTAGCTGAAATACTACACAGCTCAGATTGATCTGAAGTCTCAGGTGCACAAAGGTTAGCTGAAACACACTACACAGCTTTATCTGAACACTACAGGCAAGGCAACACACACAACACAGAAAACAACAGAGCCAGAAGATGGTAGCGTCTCTCAAAGAGGAAAGCCTCAGTCTCTCTCACTCGACTGATATTCTCTAGGTTTCTCTGTACTCCACTTCATGAGCTGGGACGGGAATCAGGTGGCACTCATGAGCCGGTCAAGCAGGTGTAACAGGTATGGAAAATTATGTGTTTTATATGTGGAATTACACAAAAATGATCAAATGTACACTTTATATGTGTGCATCTTCCCCTTTAAATTTCAGACTGAAGTGTTAATGTTAATTTCCTGTCTTTGCTCCTCCTCTTCTTTTTCTGCACAGTCTCTGCATGGGAGAGGAATGTAAACGGGCGAAATCACACAATGTTTTATTCTGTCAGATTAAATGAAGAGCGAATCGGCAGTTGATATCCATCTATTTATTTCACCAACAACACAACACAGACAACAGCAGTTAGACAGCAGGAGAAGCCAGAGCAACACAGAAGAACACAAAGCACACACATAGAAAAATCAGGATCAGGTTCAATTGTCGAAGCTTTTAATTGTCAGGGTGTTGCTGGCCGTTCCGCTCAATTGGCTTTCCTCTTTCCAACTGTAATTGCGTGTATATATGTTGATGTGTGTATATATATATTGGCTGTGCACTGAAATAAACTTAGATTAAACACTACAGACACATTTTAGCTTTGTCAGCAGCACTGAGCGGAGATTTATCACTGTATTGGACAATCGCCATTAGATTAAACAACAATAGCAAGCAAGGAAAATAATGAGTTATATAATAAATGATTAAATACATGAATAATGATTATATGATTCAATGATTAACATTGCTCTTAAAGATACACACACAAAGGTTGCTATTAAGAATCATTATATCCTGCATCAGTATCTCAGCTTTGTTCACACCCAAATACTACATTTTTGGCTAATTAATTCCAAAATGAGATGGTTTTGATTCTGACTTGTTGTTTGTGTGCGGAACCTCAGGAGTTCCTGTATCAAGTTGAATAGAGTTGGGTGTTTCTTCTCTTCTTTGTCGTTCCTGTTGTTTCTGTTTCTCCCATTCCTCTCGTTCTCTCTTCAGCTCCTCTCTTATCTTTCTCTCTTTGTCATGATCCTGTCTTTCTTCCTCCATCTTCTTCGTCATTCCCCTGATCTGTTCTTCATATTGGAACTGAAGTTGTGCTTTCTCTCTCTGTCTTTCTCTTTCTCGATTAAGTTTCTCATAAGCTTGATCATATTCTTCCTGTTGTTTCATTCTCCTTCTTCTGTCCTCCTCTTCATCTCTTCTTTTTCTTTCTTGTCGTTCCTGTTTCTCCCATTTCGCTCGTTCTTTTTTCATCTCTGTTTTATATTGCTCTTCCATCTCGTCAAATTCCTCTTCTCTTCTCTTTTTCTCTCTGTTACGCTTCTGTCTTTCTTCATCCATCATTTTCTGTTCTCTCTTTCTCCATTTCTCCTCCTCTTCTTGTCTTCTTTGTCGTTCCTCTTGTTTCTGTTTCTCCCATTCCTCTCGTTCTCTCTTCAGCTCCTCTCGTATCTTTCTCTCTTGTTCTTCTCTTTCTTTTATCTCTGTTTTATATCGTTCTTCTCTCTCTCTAAATTCTTCTTCTCTTCTTTTTCTCTCTTTGTCATGATTCTGTCGTTCTTCCTCCATCTTCATCTTCATCTTCTTTTTTTCTTCTTCATGTTTGTTCATCAGTTCTTCTTTTTCTCTGTTCACTTGCTCCACTTTCTCCATCAGGATCTTCATCTGTTGTTTTTGTATTTCTCTCTCCATCTCTCTGAACATCTTACATGAGTAGTAGCTCCCTCCGTTTGTTTTCACCATGTTGTCTATCTTCTCCAGTAGATCAGTCACCTGTGTTCGGTCTCCAGTCTCTTTATTATTGAACACATGGAATCTTTTTCCACACGCTTCAATCAGTTCATTTAAAGCAGATCCAGGTTTTCCCAAACACTGTTCAATGGTTTTATCATTCAGATCATCTCCTCTGGTGAAGAGCACCATGGTGTACATTAAAGAGTTTTCACCAAACGTCTCTTGGATGATCTTCACTGCTGTTGCTTCTTCTTGAGTGAATCGTTGTCCTAAATTGAGCACGATGATGAACACATGTGGTCCAGGCAGGATCATAGGGATGCAGTTGCTGATTTCTCTCTGGGTTTCTTCATTACTGAGTTCAGTATCAAACAGTCCTGGAGTGTCGATCACAGTGATGTGTCTGCCATTGATTTCAGCTGTCTCTCTACGACACACTTCAGTAACAGACTCTTGAGATATTTCAGCTTTAAACATGACTCTTCCTAAGATGGTGTTTCCAGTTGAACTCTTCCCAGCTCCAGTTTTTCCCAGCAGAACAATCCTCAGATCATCTTCTCTGTCTCTTGAATCTAAAGATAGATAAAAAAAAAACAAGTTATTGAATTTCAAATGAACACTGTGTAGACTTCAGCAATCATGAAAAGTGTTTAATCAATGCAGATTTCCCGATCATTACCTTGTGACTGAAACCACGTCTGTAATGAATGGACTCTCTTCTTCATTTCTTCAACTTCCTGCAGTTTCTCCATCTGTGCCTCCATCAGTGTCTCTGTGGAGAAACAAACACCACTGTTTTCCTCAACCATCTGCTCCAGTTTCTCCATCAGCTCAGACACTTGTGTGTTCAGGCCGATGAAATGATGTCGTCCTCCAAATCTCTCAATGACAGACTGTGTTTCTTCATTGAGTTCTGCTGTCTGATGCTCTGGATTCTGCTTTATGAGGATCATGATGTGTTTGTTGACTCTTGAGCTGAAGATCCTCTGGATCTCCTCTATTTCTGCTCTGTCTTCATTATTAAGTGGAGCATCAGGAATGATGAGGATGAGGTGAGACTCATTAATATTTAAATCACATTTGTATTTAATTTTTACACAGTTTAATCCTCGTTCCTGCAATATAATACACGTAAATATGCTTTACTATCGGAATTTCGGTGTTTTTATGGACGACAGTTTTATGCGAGAGTATATCAAAGTCACCGGCTGCTTATTTACTCAATTTATTAATCTATATAACGATTATTTCTGATTATAGGTTGAATTAAGGATCATATTAAGTATAGTTATTAACATCAGCTTTATCTGGCCTGTGTCAAGTTATGAAACTTAAAATCTGGTCAGTGAAAGTGTAGTTTAGGCTGCTGCTAGTAATACTAATACTAACTAATATATGTGTATTGTTGTTAATGTGATAAAAATAGCCCTCTGGATCTGTGTCAAAGGAATAAACTAGTTTAACAATGTGATTTAAACTTAAGTTAGATTAATGCTGCATTCACATCATGTCAGAATTACTGTAATCACGACTGCACTGTAATTGACTAGTTTCCCACTAGTAAACAACCTTTCATGTCCTGAACACTTACTCATGCGGAAACACCAAAGATAAAACTCTCACCCATAGGCGGAGGGTGAGCCAACTCCAGGGTTGTCTTGTATTTATCTAGTTGGATTTTTGTTAGTAAATTTCGCCACATGTAGATCCTCGCCTCATCTCGTCCTTGTCCCAGGTATAAATTTAATGTCACAATCAACACTTTTCAACTCATTCATTTACTATTAACTTTATTCGAGAGTTTAAATTATTTTATTAGCTTTCTTGTGCATTAGCTTACCCACCTTTAAAGGTTCTGCAAACTGGTTGTGTTGATGTGAGAGAAATGAGACATGTGATAGCAGCACCTAGTTATGACTGATGAAGCGAACATTATTCAGAAATTTTAAATCATTATTGTGTTATAGAAAGAAGAGCAATAAACACAGAATTCCCTGGGGGCCTATAAAAGTAGAAATCTTAAATGCATATTCAGGAGTAAAATGAACTAATATTACAAACACCAACATTTATAAAAGGTTAACATTAGTGCTGTCTGTCAATCAATAAATTTTTTAAAAATAATTTAAAAAATAATAAATCGTGATTAATTGCATATTAATATATTTATATTGTCATAATTTCACATTGAACCTCCAAATTAATGTAGAAACAACATAATGGTGAGAGCGTTCAGTGCACAAGACAGACACTAGCCGAGCCGAGCGACGACAGAAAGATAAAGATGGCGGATAAAAAACAAAAGAGGAAAACGTCTGCGGAACAAAAGAAGGCTTACGATAAGGCAAGAAGTAGCACCCGTGTAAATATCGGATCAGCTTTCCAGCGCTGGAGAGAACTCAAGGAGCGGGAAGGCCTGCGATCGGATGTCGAGGTTGCCGTTGTTGCTTTGTTTCTTCTTGATAGGTCAGTAACATTGGTTTTGCTTTGTTTCACAGAACTAATCGTTGCCTGGGTTGCGTATGTATGTGTGGGGTGGAGCTATCAAAATAGGGGCGAGACCCTTTTGGGGTAGGGGCGTGTTTGTTTTGGTGATTTTAAATATCAACATTGGCTACCAGAAATCACTTGCCCCACCTTTAAAGGTTCTGCAAACTGGTTGTGTTGATGTGAGAGAAATGAGACATGTGATAGCAGCACCTAGTTATGACTGATGAAGCGAACATTATTCAGAAATTTTAAATCATTATTGTGTTATAGAAAGAAGAGCAATAAACACAGAATTCCCTGGGGGCCTATAAAAGTAGAAATCTTAAATGCATATTCAGGAGTAAAATGAACTAATATTACAAACACCAACATTTATAAAAGGTTAACATTAGTGCTGTCTGTCAATCAATAAATTTTTTAAAAATAATTTAAAAAATAATAAATCGTGATTAATTGCATATTAATATATTTATATTGTCATAATTTCACATTGAACCTCCAAATTAATGTAGAAACAACATAATGGTGGTATATTTTTAATGTGTTTAATGGCATCTTTTTACTAAGTAGCCTATTATTAATGAAGACCAGTACCATTGATACCAATAATGCTACTGATGTCTCAATTAAATGCAATTCCCCTCAACATTACAGTATAATTGAAAGCCATTATTTTTGACATTTAAAAGGCTCTGAAAAAATATAACTTTTAATTTAAGTGAACTTAAAACAATCTTCACATAAACTATAAAGTGTATATGCATAAACTATATAGATTCATTTTTATTCAAGCTACAAAAGTTAATCAGTGAGCAGTGAGTGATTTCTCTTTTTCCTTTGTTCTGTCATTTACCTCAATGACAGACTTCAGCAGGTTTCACTTTAAAAGCCGTGCTGTCTCTTTAAAACCTGACGCGAATCTGACACACATCCGGTTTTATCCCAAATCTTTACAGTCATTTTTAAGACCGTGTTTACGAGGTCACTCGCTTAAACAACGCATTTTGACATAAATGTGTGTGAGTGTTTGTTCATTGAAGCGCTACTGGCCGGCCCCGGCCAGTGTTGCCACCTTCTGGACAAACTAATTAGTGCAAAAACAATTCAAGGCGTATGTGCGACCTGCCCGTACTCTTCTCTCGTGCCGCCATTTGAAACATTTTAGACACTGAGCTCTTGAATGTTGTATTATTTCCACACAGCACAATGTTCAGCTTTGCTTTTCCTGTAGTCATCAATGAAACAATATTTAGAGATAGTAGATAGACTCAGTTCAGCTTTGGTACCAAATGTATGCTAAAGCATCTACAAAAATATTATATTTGTAAAATACAATTAGATTGCAGTACATTATTTTTTTTTTACTGAAGGCTGTCTCTTATACTGCACAGAATCTATTAAAGGAGTCATGAACTGAGAAACCAAAATTCCCTTGATCTTTTGACAGATAAGAGGTCATTGTGCTATAAAAACATCCTGTAAGTTCCAGAACTCAAAACTTTCTTGTAAGTATAAAAACAGCTTATATTGAAGCCAGTCTGGTTGTGGAATGTGCCACTTTATGACGTAATAGTGTGTCTAAACCCCGCCTCCACAGAAGATGATCAACACCTGCTTCTACATCACTGCCTGTTTAGCTCCGCCCACCGATTCACGCATGTAGTGTAAATAACGAGAGAGGCAAACGCAGGTCACCGATTCTGCAGCACCGCCTGTTTAGCCTCGCCCACAGATTCCACAGCATCGCCTGTTTAGCCCCGCCCACAGATTCCACAGCACCGCCTGTTTAGCCCCGCCCACCGATTCTACAGCACCGCCTGTTTAGCCCCACCCACAGATTCCACAGCACCGCCTGTTTAGCCCCGCCCACCGATTCTACAGCACTGCCTGTTTAGCCCCGCCCACCGGTTCTTATGGACCTGTTGCTATGGCAGCAAGTCCAGGATGAGCTTCGAAGAACTAAATAATCCAAGAGCATGCCAAATCGTCAACAATCAAATCCAGCTAACCGAGTTAGCGACGTACGAAGAATGGGCCCCAGGTCTATGTAGAAACCAAACGATAAAGACGCTCAGAAGACAACAAGACGCTGTTCAGTGCCAAGCTGTTCTTTGCCTTCCTTCTGATCCCAACATTAGGAAAGAGTGGATGAACTTTATTTTTAATGAAGATCCAGGCCGCGTCAGTAAGAACTTCCTTTGTTCACTTCATTTCACCGCAGATTCGTTTACAAACAAGGCGCAATTCAACACAGGATTTTCAGAAAGATTGAAACTAAAAGACGATGCTGTGGACTATATTGGATCTGACAGTAATGTGAATGAATGAATGAATGAGGCATTTACGTATATAGCGCTTTCACTGTGTATTGCTGTACACCCAAAGCGCTTTACAATCATGTGGGGTGGGGGTCTCTCCTCAACCACCACCGTGTTCAGCATCCACCTGGATGATGCAACGGCAGCCACAGGACAATTGCGCCAGTGCGCTCACCACACACCAGCTACAGGTGGAGAGGAGAGAGAGATAGAGGCAATCGAGTGGATGGGGATTATTAGGAGGCCATGATAGACAAGGGCCAGTGGAGGGAATTTGGCCAGGACACCGGGATACACCCCTACTCTTTACGAGAAGTGCCATGGGATTTTTAGTGACCACAGAGAGTCAGGACCTCGGTTTAATGTCTCATCCGAAGGACGGTGCTTTTTACAGCAATGTGTCCCCATCACTACACCGGGGCGTTAGGACCCACACAGACCACAGGGTGAGCACCCCCTGCTGGCCTCACTAACACCTCTTCCAGCAGCAACCTAGTTTTCCCAGCAGGTCTCCCATCCAGGTACTGACCAGCTCAACCCTGCTTAGCTTCAGTGGGCAACCAGTCTTGGGCTGCAGGGTGATAATGTGGCACCACACAAGTGTAAGGAACTGTTTTTATTATGTGCTCACTATTGCTTTATCTGTTAAACAGGTCGTTTGATATGTTCTGGGTACGTATGCGTCCATCTGTGAAGGATGTAGGCTGTCAAACACACACAACTATTAGCCAATCACAGCAGTGTGCGTTTAGACTCATAGTGAGTCGACAATCCTCCACACCTATTCAAACAGAGCGTTCTGATGAGGGGGTCAAAACAGGACAGAAAATAGCCTATTACTTCTAAATTATGATGTTTTTGATGTAAAAATCTTGATAACATTATAAGTGGACCTCAGAGAACAGTACAAAATAAAAAACAAAGGCAGTTAATGACCCCTTTAAAGGACACAAAAATCATTCCATGCAAAACTTTGACAAACCTCCTCCATCACTTGCTGTTTTTGTGCTCTCTTTGAGATCAGAATCCTCCTCTTCGTCTTCTTCTCTGTCTGAAGCTCCAGATCTGCTCAGATCTTCATCCACTGATGCTTCATCACCTCCATCCTCATACATGTTACAGATGAGAAATTCTTCATGTTCTTTCTTGAGTATCTCTTCTGTTTTTCTGAACAACTCAGAGCGCCATCCTGGGTTTATTGTATCAAACTGTAGATGTGCTCCTCCACACTCCTTTATTAAATCATGAATAGCACTATTTGTGCTCTTATAAGCCAGAGACATGAATCTGCGTGTCTCTTCATCAGTAGTCAGCACTATAGTGTGTTTCATGGCCTGCTCACTGAAGAGGTTCAGCACAGTTTTCACTCTCTGAATGTCGTTCTCATTGAAGTCATTATACTGCAGTACGAGTATGATCACATGAGGTCCTGGAGCAGACAGAGACACACACTCTCTCACTCTCTGTGTGGTCTGATAGTGTGAGAGATTCGGCTGGAACAGGAGAGTGTCGATGACTGTGATGTGTCTCTCCTCCACCTCTCCACTGATTCTCTGACTGTGCTGCTGAGAATAAGATGCAGCTTCATTCTGAAACGCTTCTGTACCCAGTATAATGTTTCCCACTCGGCTGTTTTCTGATCCATTCTTTCCTATCAGCACAATCCTCAGATCGCTCACTGAAAAAGAGCACAGACACACACATGTTGGGTTTATACTGTATAAACTGTATATACCTCTAAACACAACCCTCACAAAATAATTTCTCCAATGTACAAATTAGGGCTGCACAATTAATCTAAATTAAATCGCAAAGGAGATAAATCGCGATTAGGCAGAAGCTGCGATTGTCACGCATATCTTTCAGTGAAGCACGGTTCTGTGATCAGTAGTAAATCTCCATCCAAAGGCCAGAGAAACTCCAAATACGCCTCGCAGAAGAAACCCAGGAAATGCATATAGCAGTTGCTGAATAAACAGAAGATTCAACTGCTTTCATTAATTCAACGCGAGTAATAAACACACGACTACGACAATATATGGTTTATTATATAAAGTATATAATAAAGCAATGCTAATCGACATAGCCTTTATCACTGCTTAGAATACTATGAAATATGTTGCATGCCTTCCCTTACGAAAAAGACGTTTATTCAAGTGTGCTATTAGTATACTTCTTTTAAACTAAAAAATAGGAAAGTATACTTTTAGTCTACTTTTTATGTACATTTGAATTATACATAAAAAAATATATATTTGAGCTATACTTTTGCTCCTAGACTCCGTGTTTTCATTGTTATATGGTAGGGGGCACGTGTACACATCTTCTGTACAAAATTTCCAAAAAAACACAAGTGAAGAAGAAACCGAAACAACAGATGCTTCCACATGTAATCTTTATTACAGCTACAGGTGTGTTGCTGGGTTGGGAGTTATACATCAGTTGTGTTGTGTTGCTGTGTGAGATCATACCCTGCTGCTTTTGTGGGGGTGTGTAGGGGGTTCAATATATATATATTTTTTTGTCAACACACTTTCATTTCAATAGGTTTCATTTCTCTATAATGGTGCATTATGCACGTGAGGTTAGCTGAGGGAGGGGCTCAAAGCAGTTTAATGGTTATAAGGAATAAGAGACGATCGACACAGCATTTAACTGCAGAGCCGAGGTTGAATGAGAATGTTTACCCACCAAATACTGTAAGAGCTTTAACTAAAACAAACGCGGTGAAAAGATGCTGGGGCTCCGTGGTTATTAATAAGTTTCGTTAGTCACAGTTATGATTTAGACACCACAGTCAAAATAACATAATTTTGACATAATAAACATACAAAATAACATTAAATATAATAAAATACACAAACACACATCTGATATAACATTATATTAAATATCACAACATGTATTTATCATTCAGTCAAGCACTTTCAAATATAGCCTCACAATTTATATGAAATTAATAATGCATTTTTTATTATACAAATACTCACCTATTAATTACATTTACAAATGCATGCTATAATAACAAGGCATAGATAGATTTTATGTGTATTGAGAAGTTTTATACGTGTAAAGATGCATGTGAGATGTAGTTTTTACTTATTTCATGAATGCTTCGTGAATATTAGAGGAAATGTTGCTACATATATTTGTATCCAATTTGATTCTTACCTGAACTTGACGCCATTTCAACGCCAACACTTTGAAATTAATGAAGAAAAACGCTGAAAGACAAGAACATCCGCGGAGGCTGAAAAAAAAGAATTGAGAATGAAACCTTTTGCGCCTATTCACTTTTTCTTTTTTGAGACCAGAAATGAAATATGGAAGAAGCGGTTTCTTCTTTAATTGTTCTGATGAGTCGAATAAGCAGATGCACACCAGCTCCTCCTGAACATGAATGTAGACTGGGCAGATTCTGAGTCGAGGGCTTTTATAGTTGGCTTTCAGTTTCGTTTCCGGATTCTATCACTGGGGGGGTGTCACTTCAATATCCATAATTTTGGGATATTGATGAAGTTGTTCATTTAGTTCAGATCAGCCAGAAAAAATATTACATCTTTTTTTTCTTAAACTGCTGTTATTAAAGAAAAAGAAGAAAAATCTATCTAGGAATTCTCAACAGAAATCTGGACACAATTTACATGCAAAGATGTTTTCATATATTATGCATCAAAAATGACTTATGTTAATTTTTGGGTGAATCTTGTGATTTTATACACATAAAAGTAAAAGGTGTAACTCTAAACCATGTTTTAAGGGTTTTTTGGCTTATGTTTATTGACTCTTTTAAATGTACTGATAACAAAAAATCTAATTATACAATTATATTTGCTGAAAAGTTAAAGCTAATTTTAAAGTAACACCTTGTGATTGCTGTCTCTCTCTCTTTTTTCCTTATTTAGTTTCTTTACTTGTGCTGCTTTTAATGTATATTTTATAACCCGTTTTCATGTTTTTATGCTATCTATTTGGATGTCTTGATTTATCTGTAAATTTGCTTGTGAAGCATTAAAAAAAACTATCTATCTATCGATCTATCGATCTGTCTGTCTATCTGTCTATCTGTCGATCTATCTATCTGTCTATCTGTCGATCTATCTGTCTATCTCTGTCTGTCTGTCTGTCGATCTGTCGGTCTGTCTGTCTGTCTATCTGTCTGTCTGTCTGTCTGTCTGTCTGTCTGTC